CTTTTGACACACTTCCGATGATGTCAGGGGGTGTGGCATATGCAAATAAGTTATGCTAATGAGCTCCTGCACCTCTGTTTCTATGAAATGACACCTGAGAAAGGGGAAATCAGTTTAAATCACACCCCTTTCCTTTTTAACATTTTATCGTTCCAATCAGAAGTGGTAACCGTTTCACGGCATCAGAGGTCTTTTTGCCGAAATCCCTCCGCTGGATCCACTCCATTTTCCCACATGCACGCTGTCAGGCCACTTTTTTGACCTCGTTCTTGCAGCTGTAGAGGACTAGAAACTCCTCTTAAAAAAAATAAAAATTAAAAACTGAGATCTCTAGACAGCTAAATTCAGCACCCAGCGCTACATTCCGTGTTTTTTTCCTGCACTCCTGTGAAACCAAAACACATTCACAGCCCTGGGTGGAATGGACACTAGCCAATTAACAGACCTACGCGCCGGGGAGGGGTACAGCACAAGTTAACTCTCCTTTTGATTTTCCAGTGATCTACTATTACTTGTTGGCTGTCGAGATGTTCTTTATTGGCGTATTCGCCCGTTACTCCTTCCGAAGAACTGAACCGCGACCAGACACCCAGCCGGGCCCCCGCGTCTCCCAGGCGGAGATGGCCGCATCCAGCCGCTGCAGCTCCGGAGCAAGCGCGACCATGGAGCAAGCGAACGCCGGCTTCCTCTGCGAGGAGGTTTTGTGTACGATCGAGCACTCCCCTTTGGATCAGTTTGATTTCAGCACGGGGGCGCCAGTGGGCAAACGGCAGCAGAGCTGGGGCCTAGGCCACCCACAGGCGGGGGCATTCCGGGGCAAGGAGCCCGAGGCGAGCTCATCGCCGCAAAGAGCTGGGACTGAATCACCGCCGACTGAAACCCAAGGCCAGACTGCCACAGCGGATGCTGAGGGGGTCACTGTGGTATAAGCCGCAGGCTCACGACAGACCTATCGATCTGTGGGACATACCGCCACTGACCAAAGAGGGTGGTGGCCCAGAATTCAACACTGGAGGGAGAATGACAGAGCTGCCCCGGGGGACAGCAGCCTGGGGGATTTCAGCCCACTTATACCAAGCACTGACTGTGTAATGAAAAAGGATAATTAGTTAAGGGCCAGAATAATGGCAAAATGGGTGGGAGGCAAAAGGGGACTGGGGGACTAGAAAACCCGTTGTCAGGGGTCATTTCTTGCAGGAGCGCACAGGAGCAGAGCTCCGGCAGGAAAGAGCCCAGGGGGCGGGCACATGCAACTTGCCCCACGCCCTGCTCCCAGCAGCCCTCAGTCAGAGCAAGAAGCAGCCAGGTAAGTTGCAGAGCTGCCCCCGGCCCCCTGGTCCAAAACATTCCAGTGGCACCTTTAAGACCAAGTTTTATTCAGGTACAAGCTCTTCCTCCTCTGCGAGGACAGATCTGAACCTCCCCCCCCCCCCCAATAGCTACCAATCCAAAACAGTCCAGTAGAGCCTGAACGATGGGGGTTGCCTTTGTAACCACTTCCGAGGCATATGCAAATAAGTTATGCTAATGAGCTCCTGCACCTCTTTTTCTATGAAATTACCCCGGCCCGTTGTGCTTATTATTAATAATTGCAGTTCGTTTGTATAGCACTTCTTGTATTGAAGAACACCTCTCGTTTGTCTTCAGATCATCCCTGGGAGGATAAATGGGGGGCGTGTTTCTCAACTTAATGTCACCTCTCAGTAGCCAAACGGCTATTGGAACCGGGAGGTTCCAAACCAACATGCCGTCCATTGCTCCACACTGGAGAAAGCATGAAAATGTATAAGAATCAGTGTTCCCTCTGAGTTAGTCTGAGCCAGTTCAGTTTTTTAGCCTCCGGCTCACAGATTTTTGTCTTAGCTCAGGAAGGGTGGCTCCAGCGCAAACTAGTTTATGCAGTAGCTGAATCGCTCACTGCCAACTTTAATGTCAGTGGCTCACAAAGTAGAATTTTTGCTCAAAAGACTCCACAGCTTAGAGGGAACATTGATAAGAATGTTTCGAATATGTGTTGGAGATGCGGAAAACAAAGCCAAAATTTTTCGGATACAAATACATTCATTCATCCAGATTTGAAAGATTTTATACATTTTTTCTTTTGGGACTAGTGGACAGACAGATAGAAAAAAGTCATGGGACTTTATTTTTACCTATGACAATGGCAGCGAGGCTGTTATAAGCACAAAAATGGAAAAGTCCGACATTACCACACCAAAGGAACGGTTGGTGAAGATGATGGAACTTGTAGAGATGGCTAAACTTATTTCTAGCTACATTTATTGCTATCTGGCAACCCCTTATATAGACTTTTTGCATGAAATGGAAAAAAATGAAATGATGATTTGTGGATTTGATGATGGGGGGGGGAATAAGGTAACAGAATAAAAGAGAGTTCTTTTTTGCAACCATAGAGTATAAGTGTTAAGTTTGTAACTTTACTTATATCTGTTGCAGAGAAAATTGGGAGCCACTTGATATTCTTTTGCTCCTCCTCTTTTCTAATATCTTCCTGCTTTTCTTTGCTTTCCTTGGTTTTCTTCAGCTTTGTATTTCTATTTCCTTTTTTAAAAAATATCTGCCATTAGTTTTTATCTTCCGGTTTAAAAATTCTCAATAAGAACAATTTAAAAAAAGAAGAAGAAAGAAATCGACATTTGGTCTGTTTAGTGGCTGGGGGCTTCCAGAATTCTTTCGAGGGGTGGAAACCAGAAATCCTATCACCACACACTCATGTGAAACGAGAAGTCTTTCACACCAGCAGGGGGCAGTGTGGGCATGTGGCCGGGCCTCGGCCTCTCCCGCAAGCCTTGCGGTTACGTCATGTGGACAACTCCTCCAGGGCATTGACCAGTTCAGCCTCGCAGGTATGGGAAGCTCCCTCCTCTTGCAGCTGTGGAGGCTCATCTGGAGCAGCGGGCTGCTGGGGCTGGGCTGTCGATTCCTTGGCGAGAAGGTTGTGTTTCTTCAAGAAGCAGGCTTCTTCGTAAGGGGGGTGGATGGGAGGCTGAGTGGGAGGCACGTAGGTGTATTCCTTCCCGGGCTCTAGCTGGCCAAACAGAAAAGGAAGAGACCGAAGGTGAATACTCCCCGTACCACCCCCGAACCCCCATCTCCCCAGGTGTCAGGCTCCTTCTTCACAATTAAGGGTGGCAGGCAGTGCCTTGCGACCGGCTGAAGGAGGGAGATTGGATTTATACCCTGCCCTTCAGGACCTGGAGGAATCTCAGAGCGGCTTACAATCTCCTTCCCCTCCCCACAACAGACAGCCCTGTGAGGTAGGTGGGGCTGAGAGAGCTCTTTTGGGGACTGCTCCTGAGAGAACAGAACACCTCTGAGAGAACTTGTGACTGACCCAAGGTCACACCAGCAGCTGCATATGGAGGAATGGAGAATCGAAGCCAGTTCCCTCAGATTAGAATCCATGCTCCTAACCACTACACCAGACTGGCTCTCTGAAGGGTTGTGGGGTGAGCGGCATCCTGGGAGGAAAAACTAAGAAAAACAAGGCCTCATCTACTTACAGGAAGTTCTGACCATAGAGTTTCTGGCGATTCCAAGAGCTACCCTTGTCACTCCTAGGTAGCTCTGGGAATCTCCAGGAAGTCTGTGGTCAGAACTTCCTGTAAGTAGACAAGGCCCAGGACAATTGCCCGTTTGGCTCCCATTTCTGCCTGCCAATCAGGTCAGCGCCGTTGGACAAAAGCCACAATAACTCGGAGGTCTCCCACCATAAGTGAGCAAATTGGAACCCTGCGGACAATGCAACCTCTTCGAGCTAGCAGGCCCATCCCCTCCTACAGTCTCCAGGATGCCCATTTCAACCGCTGTCGAGTTCTCCTTCCAGTAATCGTGCACGGCCTCAAAGTGGGGACTCTAATCTGGGAGAGCCGGGTTTGACTCCCCACTCCTCCACATGCAGCTGCTGGTGTGACCTTGGGTCAGTCACAAGTTCTCCCAGAGCACGTCTTCCGCAACGGCCATGGGGCAAGGAGCTGCTGGACTGCTTGCTGCTGCTCAGCAGCGCCACCAGAACAGATGGCTGGAGGCTGGTATTGCAAGCTATCGATTCAGCAAGAGCCAGATGACAAGAGAATGGCCAACAAAGCACTTGTCTTCTTTTGCCAGTCCAGGCGAGTCATTATTCTGGCGTGGGCCCTGCCCTCCACTCTGTGGCACACACGGCCTTACCTGCAGGGGATACGTCCGGTCCGAATCGTAAGCGCTCAGATCTCCGCAAGCCAAGAAGGGAACTATGACCCGATTGGGGCCCCCCAGCTGGTTAAAGTCCACATCTGTCGGGGAAGGAGACACGCTTAAGTGGCAGGCACTCCCATTATCCCTGCCATTCAGTTCTCCTAATAAATATTCCCAAACGTGTCTGCCAAACGTGTTCGACACCCCTGGGTTAGACAGTGTTATCAAGCCAACGAATATGAAATTGAGCAAACTCCGGAGGACAGGAGGGGCTGGCGTGATGTGGTCCTGGGGGTCGCAAAGAGTCGGACTCGACTGTGCGACTGAACAACAAAAGAAGAAGAAGAGATTGGATTTATACCCTGCCCTTCAGGACCTGGAGGAATCTCAGAGCGGCTTACAATCTCCTTCCCCTCCCCACAACAGACAACCCTGTGAGGTAGGTGGGGCTGAGAGAGCTCTTTTGGGGACTGCTCCTGAGAGAAGAGTTCTGAAAGAACTTGAAACTGACCCAAGGTCACATCAGCAGCTGCATGTGGAGAAGTGGGGAATCAAACCCGGTTCTCCCAGATTAGAGTCCGCACTCCTAACCACTACATCAAACTGGCTCACACTCACATTTTTTTTAGCCTCTGGCTCACACCTTCTTGTCTTAGGAAGGATGACTCCAGAGCAAGTCGCTCGCTCACAACTTTAATGCCGATCGCTCATGAGGTAGAACTTTTGCTCACAAGACTCCACAGCTTAGAGGGAGCGTCGCCAGGCAGGAGGTGATGTCAAAGACCTCGGCCTGAAACCCTGGAGAGCCGCTGCCGGTCCGAGTCGACAATACTGACGGACCGATGGTCTGATTCAGTAGAAGGCAGCTCCATGCGTTTTCACGTGTGTTCATTGCATCAGCCATTGGCAGAGCATTAACTGGGCACAGCGGTGCCCTTGTATTAGCAAGTTTGCAGTGGGAATGGCTTTCTGTTACACCGCATTTTTGTTCTTGTTCCAGCCCCACACAGCAGGCAAGGCAAGGCAAGCAAAGATCGGTTTCCCAGATCAATCTGGAAGCCAAGAGAAGAAGAGTTTGGATTTATACCCCACCCTT